CTTCACACTCTCAAGCCTGCATCCACACATGTGCGAGGTTAGCAGTTCAGATGCACTGGCTGAATCCACATTTATGGTTTGACCTTCAATTGATTACATCAGACACTCGGAAATAAGTTAAAAGTATCAGCTCAGATATAACTTAGAGCTTAACAGCATCTGAAGTGAATTAGACATTCATCAAACTGACCTTGATCTTTCAAAAATACAGGTTCTTACAGGACTCACTGAAACTTCAAATCACCATATGGCAAACAGAATTTATGCTTACTTCTCACACATGTTTAACATCAAAAAATAGATGATAGAAAATAGACTCAAAGAATTTCACACATAACTTTGGAAGTACTAACAATTACTACGACTAGATAATGAAACAAAGGGCTTCAAGCTACTTCATGGCAGGCAACTTAAACTGTGTGTCACATATACAGTATCAGTGCTGCTTCTGCCCTGCATCAGTGCCTTCTGTTTCAATTCATCCACCAACCTCCACCAAAGCTCAAGGAGAATCACTCCCTCGTTTCTGCGAGAGGCCTGGGAGCCTGAAGGTCTTGCACAGTATCTTTCCATTTCCCAAGACTGTGCGGTTCTGCACAGATATCTCAGATGTCATTCCTGGAATCTGCTGATCTGCTGGGTCACTGCTCCAAGTGTTCCAGTTACTATGTGGACCACTGTTGCCTAAACTTTCCAAATTGTCTCTAGCTCCTCTGTCAGCCCTGGTATTTGCATTGTTTTTCATTCTTCTTGTGTTTCTTGTTCCTGATGTTGCTATCACTTGGTATCGCTACATCGAACACTACGACTGTCTCCCTCTGCTTGTCCACCACTACTATTTCTTGGTTGGTTTTATATATATATATCACTCAACAAAAATATAAACGCAACACCTTTGTTACTGCTCCCATTCCCCATGGGATGGACGTAGAGACCTAAAATTCATTCCAGATACACAATATAACCATCCCTCCCAAACAGTGGTCACAAATCAGTCCAGATGTGTGGTAGTGGGCACATCTGCTATATTGAGATAATCCATCCCACCTCACAGGTGTGGCACATCAGGATGCTGATCTGACACCATGAGTAGTGCACAGGTGTACCTCAGACTGCCCACAACAAAAGGCCACCCTGGAATGTGCAGTTTT